TCTGGGGGAAGTGGCGATAGGGCAGAGGTTGGAGGGCTGGCCAGGAGTTAGTGTGTATGGAAGGCTGCAGGGTCAGTCTGAATGGGGCAGCAGGCAGAGGGGCTGCCCACTGGGAGAGGAGAGGACAGCGAGCACAGATGTGGGGCACACTCTGAGCCAGGTTCCAGTCCCGTAGTCCTCACATCTCTGTGGTTTAAGTACTACGACTGTATTTTACAGATGAGGAAACAGGCAGAAAGATTCTTCTGTAAGTTGCCCAGTGTCATACACATACTGGTGGCAGCATTGGGATTCAGATCTTGACATTCGGGAGAAGAGGTGAACTAACAGGTGGGTCCTAGATTCATGAAAGGCCATCGAAAGATTTCCAGCAGGGGGAGGAAATGCTCGCTCAGATCAATGCTTTGAAAGGCCCACTCTGGCTGCATTGAGGAGAATGGGTTGCAGTGAGGCACGAATGGAGACTGAAAGAAGAGATAGATGCTGTAGTTTTAGTCCAGGCAGGAGGTGGCAGTGGTTGAACCACAGTGATAGCAAAGACACGGCTTATGGACAGGACCTGGGCATGTTAAGGGCAGAATGGATGCTGTTTTATTTGTGAAGGAGACGGGGTGGCCCTGGGGCTTCCACTGGGCTATCATGTTTGACTTTGAACAAAGTTCCACTGCCGAGAATGATTCTAAAACCATCTGGGTGATCTGCTGGGTCCCTCTCCATCCCTTTACACAAATGTGCCTTACAGGTCAGCCCTGCAGCCCCAAATCCACAACCTCCAGCTCAAGCTCACTTTCCTCATCTTACTTGCAGATTGACGAGATGCCTGAGGCTGCAGTGAAATCAACAGCCAACAAATATCAAGTGTTTTTTTTCGGGACCCATGAGACGTGAGTGAGGGGGCAGAGGTGGGGAGGGCCGTGGGTGGTCCACATTGGGGAAACGGGTGGTCATGGTGCCCCTTTCCTGTTGGGCTGTGCAGCTCAGAGGCAGCGAGGGGCTCGAGAGCACAGTCTCCCATCTCTCACCAGGGCATTCCTGGGCCCCAAAGACCTCTTCCCTTACGAGGAGTCCAAGGAGAAGTTTGGCAAGCCCAACAAGAGGAAAGGGTTCAGCGAGGGGCTGTGGGAGATCGAGAACAACCCTACTGTCAAGGCTTCTGGCTACCAGGTGAGCTGCCAGCTGCCCAGGAAGCTCCCTGGAGAGCAGGTGTGGACATAGGCTCCGACACCCCGGACCCACACTTGATGCTTAATCTTCTGGAACGGGTCTGAGAAACACTCAGGCTTTCAGAGTAGGAGCACATAGGGTGGAGGGGCGGGGGGAGGCTGCTGGCGAGGGGATGGGGTTGCAGGTACCAGGTGTAGTTGTGGTGAGGCATGGGGGGGCAAAAACAGGATGGAGGCGGTAAGTGGGGAGGCCTTTGTTGGTCCCAGCAAGAATGTAGGACTTGGCCTTAACTTTTCCACAAAGGCTTCCTGGAGGAGGTGCTCGTGAGCCGGGCAGGATGAGGCGGGAGGGTGGGGGGCGGGGGTTGGCGGGGAAAGGGTCCCAGCTCCCTTTGGGAGAAGTTGACCCGAGGTTTTGCCTCCTGCTCCAGCCCTCCCCCCTCCTGCACAGAGCCCTGCCTGCCCGGCCAGTGGGTTTACCCCGGGGCTAATCCGACAGAGGTGGGTCTCAAATCACTTGTGAGACTGGGCACCTGGGTGGGGGTGGGGGAGAGGTGGGAGAAGGAAGGAGTGAGTGGCCGAGGGAGGGGTCTGGGGAGGGGGCCAGCATGGCAGCCACTGGTGCCACTCAGCCTTTGCTGTCACTGCCACAGTCCTCTCAGAAAAAGAGCTGCGTGGAGGAGCCAGAGCCGGAGCCTGAAGCTACAGAGGGTGATGGTGACAAGAAGGGGAATGCTGAGGGTAGCAGTGATGAGGAAGGGAAGCTGGTCATTGACGAGCCCGCCAAGGAGAAAAATGAAAAGGGGGCGCTGAAGAGGAGAGCAGGGGACCTGCTGGAGGTAATCTGCCGCCCCCCCCCCCCCCCGCCCCCCAGGAGCCAGGTTCCTAGTCTGAGATACAGACCTAGTCCCTGGTCTTAGGGAGCTGCTTGCTGAAAAGATGGGATACAAAGACATTTCAGCCAGCAGAAGCATGGGGAAGGACTAGGGATACCCAGGAAGGAGCCTCTGGGGAAAGGAGGAGTAGGTACAGGCTGGTGGCTGCTATCCTTCCTCTCTAGCCTCAGCCCTTCTCTCTGCCAATTCTGCCTAGGACTCCCCGAAACGTCCCAAGGAGGCAGAAGACCCTGAAGCGGAGGATAAGGAGGTGGCTGTGTTGGAGGGTGAGCATCCCCTTCCTGTGGAGGTAGAGAAGAACAGTACTCCCTCTGAGCCTAGCTCTGGCCGGGGGCCTCCTCCAGAAGAAGAGGAAGAGGCTGCCAAGGAAGATGCTGAGGTCCTAGGCATCAGAGATCATGAGAGGTGAGTGAGCCCCTGCCCTGGCAGCGCCGCCAGGAGGGCCCAGCCACCTATGGAGAGGAGGAGGTGGAGGGCCTGCAGCTATCAGCCTCTCAAGAGGCAGGAGTTGGGAGGCCGGGTGGGCTTTCCCAGGAGATTGGCACTGACTGGGGCAAGGGCAGGCCAAGGTCTAATCATTAACCCTTTTCCCCTCCAACCCTCCCTCGCAGCCTGTAGCCACCAATGTTTCAAGAGGAGCCCCTGCCCCGTTCCTGCTGCTGTCTGGGTGCTATTGGGGAAACTGGCCATGGCCTGCAAACTGGGAACCCCTTTCCCACCCCAACCTGCTCTCCTCTTCCACTCACTCTCCCTCCCCAAGCCCAGGCCCTGGGGATTGACTTGGATGTGGCAAGCTTCCTGGCCCTTACCTCCGTGTCACTTTCACGTCTCCACACCCTGTGATCTGAGTCAGGGCTATGTCTTCTGTTCCATGGTATGAGATGAGGCCTTTTGTCCCTCCCTGCCTGGAGCTGTCTCCTAGGATCCCTGGTGGGGCCCGGACCAGCTGTTTCCACCTCCTGACACCCCTTGGCCCCTTCCCTAGGCATTGTGGACCTCTGGATTGGTTGGGATCAGAGTTAGGTATAGAAAGGATAGAGGATAAATAGCAAGGGTGGGCTTCTGGGGTCTGAGAGGAGCAGTCCTCACACTAGGGTGGGGAGGTGGTCAGGAGATGGCATCTTCTTGAGCTCCTGTGCCTTCTTCCCACACTTATCCCAGCTTCCTAGAATCAGGGAAAATGGGACAGCTTGTGTGGGGCGGACTCCCTTCCATAAATTCTTGATGATTAACGACACCGATTCTTCTCTTTGCTAATCCCAGGAGTTCTAGGAGTTGTAGTTAATTCATCAAAAGACTTTGAGGCTTCCCAGTTGTTTGGGTCAAGGACCTGAGATCTGAAGTGTTGACTTCACCCCACCTGGATGGGGGTGTTGAGGAGTAGTCGTCCCCACTTTTAGATCTTGGGCCAGAGATGGGATGCCCTGGGGAGATCCCTAGCTGCCCTTTTCCCTCTCCCCACAGTGCTCAAGGCCAGCCTGCAGCCACATGTCACCCAGACATATGGAGAAGACACATTTTTTAGGAAATGTTTTTAATAAAAGAAAATTTAAAAAAAATTTTGAAGACCCCTTATCCCTTTGTGTGCCCCCCACACTGCTCCTTCCTTCCCCACTTTTGCCCTCATTTCTGAGGTACACTGGGAGCCTCCCCCTCTGGGCTTGATGATTTTCCTTTTGTAGCTGGGGCTTTGGTGTTCCTTCTGGTGTCATTTCCCATCCACATACTCCCACCTCATCCCCTCAGTGTTGTCACCAGATCCGATTTGTAGCCCACTGAGTGGACAGGGAAATGAATACCCTTTCCCAATCTCTTTCTAGTGGTCTGGATGCCTCTTCCATCTCGTGTCTGTTTCACCCTTGTCCCTCTCCCTAGGGCTCTGATGAAAAATTGCTGACTGTAGTTTAGCTCCGAGAACCATAGGCAATTTCAGTTCTAGGAAAATAAACCTGTTGATTACTACATTGGATTCTGACTGATTCTTTAGGGGGGAGGTGTACTGGAGAAGGGGAGAAGGGAAGGGGAATACAGATGATTTCTAAATTAACTTCAGATTGTGGTCGGGGGTGACAGCTTTTCCACTCTCAAGCTGTTTGAAGTAACCAAAATTCTACATGAGGTCAGTCACAGAATAAACTACACCATTTCTTTCTGCTTCTCTTGCACAGCCACTGTTTAACACAGACTCCCCCAATAAGCACCCGGGAATGTAGTTTGCACAAGAAGTAGGGTATAAGAAGGTGTCAATATCAACCAAAGCCCACAATGGCCATGGAAGTAGGGGTGTTTGGGCTGGTTGTAGAAGCAACTGACACCCAGAGGTCAGAGCTAAGGTATACCTGGCACCCTTAACTGGTGATTAGAGGGGAAGAGGTCAATAGGGTGAAGTCTTCCCAGCAGTCTCAAATTAAATAGCCGAATTAGGTCATATGAGGTTCCTTCCAGATATGACACTTTGTGACTAGATCATTGACTGTCATTGGAAGGGCCCACGTTTTGTTCCTTCAGAACATCTATAGCTGTTTTTTAATCTCTTCTGATCCCCTCCAACAGAGAAGGGCGCGTGGGGGCGTCTATTGTCTGTACCTGTGCCCGGAAAGGGTAGCCCTCTATTTCGAATTACAAGCCACTATCTCCTAGAAAATGGAGCCATCGGCTCAACTACAATTCCCAGCAACCCGCACACAGCAAGTTCAGGAATGCGCCAGGTGCGGCAGCCTTTTGCCTCCAACGTCCGGCGTGCTTCACGGTGATTTACGCTCCCTCGGTTTCCTACCTGACCCAGTTTCCTGTTTCTGCTTGCTTCGTAGCTATGGACTACAGCTCCCAGCGTGCAGCGAGGCTAGATTGGCTGAGCTTCCGGTCTACGATTAGACTACATTTCCCACAAAGTCGAAGGGCGGGAACGGGAGGGGCTGGGGGCCCACGTGTAGCACAACAGGCGTAACTTCCGCGAGCAGTGGGAAGCGGAGGTGAGGCCTGTACAGCGGAGGTGTTGGCGACTTTGGGCTCGTCCTGGAGGCGGGTGCGGTAAGGGTCTTCCTTTTCCTGGGCGGACGCTCAGTGGTATCGCCCAGAGTTGCTCTGCACCGGAAGCTTGGAGCGGGTGGGTGCTGTAGGTTTGTTGGGGCCGGACTTCGCCAGCTTCAGTGATGGGGCTGGCGGCGTAGCCTTTGGAACTGAGGCCAGAAAGGCAGACGCTCCACCGCACTACCTTGCACGGCGCTTCCAGAGCATGCCGCGAAAGTCCCACTGTGAAAGGGACACCAACCTCTCCAGGATATGGAAGGAAAAAAGGAAAAGATCCAGGGGGATGGCTTTTGATCCAGGAGATCTAGGAGGGATCTCCTCCTAGAGCTTCAGATTTAGAATGATTGAGGTTGGGACTTTTTGCAGTCATCACACAGGAGTCGTGGGTGTTAATATTGGCTCTGCTTCTGTCAAGCTGTATGACCTAGGACAGGCACTTCAACTCTCCGGGCCTTGGTGTCCTTGTCTCCTGTCTACTTCACACTCACAGGGCAGTGGGAAGATGAAATACCAGTACCAATGAAGTTCTCAGCATTTGTCACATAGTGCTCACTAATCATTTGTTGAATCTGAATGGGGACGTTGAGACTATATTCAACTAGCATTAATTGAAAATAACATTAGGCCTTTTCCACATTGAGGAGTAAAAAGAAAAAAAGTACACAATATCCCATTATTTAGATAAACTGGTTGGTGTGGCTCAGTGCTTTGCGCGTCGCTCCACGGACCGAAATGTCACCAATTTGATTCCCTGTCAGGGCACAAGCTTGGGTTGCCAGGCCAGGTCCCTGGCTGGGGCCTGCCAGAGGCAGTGGGTAGATGTTTCTCTCCTCTTTCTCCCTCCCTTCCCCTCTAAAAATAAATTTAAAGTCTTACTTTAAAAAGACATGGTTAAAAATACAAACGTTATGGCAAGAATCAAGATGGAAAATAATAGCTCTCCAAAAAGGTTCCTTTCCCCCTAAACAAGTACCTGAGTTATTTCCTGCCCATAAACATTTATCCCTGTACCAGGATATATATATTTTAAAATTTACCCCAACAAGATAATACTGTTTGCATTTTTTAGCATTAAAAATAATTTGAACGACACCAACAACCCGGTAAAGTTTGATGGGTGATGAACATGACGCTTGCCTTGGGTTACAAAATAAGGATGGTGAAGTGGGAACTAGAACCCAGGTCATCTGACTTCCAATCCAGAGCTCTTTATGCCGTTATAGTGCACTTTATCTGTACTTTGAAGCTAGACTGCATTAGCCATAAAACAATATTGATGGTACTTTCTTAAATGAAGTGATACTGGAAAGCACATAGCATCAGCACCTGGCAGGTAGCAAGTGCTCAATAAACAGAAGTTCTTATTTTTTGCCCTTAGTTCTCTCACCACCTTGTAGATTTGGTTCATTATCCAAAATTGGGAGGCTTAGGGTACATAATTAATTGGGCAATTTAGGACACAGTGATCCTAGAGCTTGTCTCTGGGTCCTTTTCTTTTAAAAAAGAAGCTATCTTAAAAAGGAGTGGTCTTTTCCTGACTGAAGATAGGAAATGGAAGTGGTGTAAAGACATTTTAATCTTAGTTTCTATCTATTCCCTATTTGGCCTTATAGCTGCCTGTTTTTTATAACTGCCTGTTTTTTGGCCTTACGTCAGTGGTTTGTTCCATTACTTATTTTTTTCCCCCTATCCTGTTGTGTGTGCATTTGTTTAATAATTTTTTACTGAGTACCTACTATCTGCTGGATTCAGGGGTGAGCTAGATAATGTGGTTCCTGGCCTCAGTGAACTTTTTGAACTTTGAAGGCAGACATGTGTGGCTTTGAATGCTGATTCTTCTGCATAGTAGCTTTAAAAAAAAAAAAGATTTTATTTACATGTTTTTAGAGAGGGGAGGAAACATCAACGTGTGGTTGCCTCTTGTGCGCCCCCTACTGGGGACCTGGCCTGAAACCCAGGCATGTGCCCTCACTGGGAATTGCACTCCTGACCCTTTGGTTCACAGTCCTGCACTCAAGATGGACACTGAGCCATACCAGCCAGGGCTGTTTCTTCTGCATAGTAGCCTTATGGCCATGGGCAATTTAGTTAACCTCTCCAAATTTATTTCCTTTCTGAGGAAATACTCAGTAAAGTGAAGATAATATATTATGGGGATTCAGTGAGATGAGGTCCATTGAGCAATGGAATGCTTTAAAAAAAATTCCTCCCTTTGCTTCTTTGCCCCCTTCTTTCTATCTGTCTACTCCAGAGCTGACTAGGAAGGTTTCTGGGTCTTTCACTGGCCAGGGACTCCTCAGAACCTTCAGCCATGCGTCTCTCTGCCCTGTTGGCCTTGGCATCCAAGGTCACTCTGCCGCCCAACTATCGCTATGGGATGAGCCGCCCAGGTTCCCTTGCAGACAAGAGGAAGAACCCCCCAGGGACCAGGCGGCGCCCAGTGGCTGTGGAACCCATTTCCGATGAAGACTGGCACCTCTTCTGTGGGGATAGGGTGAGAATCTCAGATGAGGTGGAGCGGCAGGGGGACTCCTGGGGAAGGATCTCCCTCCTTGACCCTCGTGTTGCCACAGGTGGAGGTCCTAGAAGGCAAGGATGCTGGGAAGCAAGGCAGAGTGATTCAAGTTATCCGGCAGCGAAACTGGGTGGTCCTGGAGGGGCTGAATACAGTAAGTGAAGAGTGGGGGTGGGGGCACTCAGGAAGCCTGTCCTATCTATCCCTCTCTATTAAGAGCAGCAGAGGAGTCAGGAGACTGGCTGAGGGGATAGTGAGGCAACTGAACTTTCTGTTCAGCATGGGCTGGATGCTTAGAGCTGTAAGCAAGTCGCCTTCACACCCTTTGATTTCTGATAACCCCTCCTCTTTCGGACAGCATTACCGCTATGTTGGCAGGACCAAGGACCACCGGGGAACCATGATCCCTAGCGAAGCACCCTTGCTCCACAACCAAGTCAAACTTGTGGATCCTGTGGACAGGTGAGCATGCGTCTGAATAGAGGATTTCCCATCCTGAGTTCTTACGGATGTTACCTGCATTTATCCAATGGCAGTGGTGGTTTGGATGCTCTGGAAATTGAGAGGGGCCATCTCATGGACATGACCCCCTGTAGGCAATCCCAATACAGAGGTAGAATTTTCAGCCATTGACTTGTAGGTTGCGGAGCAGCAGGGAGACCTTGCCCTAGGCCTAGTTCATCTCTTCTTTCCACTAGGAAACCCACTGAAGTGGAGTGGAGATTCACTGAGGCAGGAGAGCGGGTCCGAGTCTCCACAAGATCAGGAAGGATTATTCCCAAACCTGAATTTCCCAGAGCTGATGGCATCGTCCCTGAAACATGGATTGGTGAGGCTAGATGAGGGACAGGAAGATGGAGTAGGGTGGGAGTAATGGATGTTAAGATGCTCACCCATCTTTATTCCTCTGGCTCATAGATGGCCCCAAAGACACATCAGTGGAAGATGCTCTGGAAAGAACCTATGTGCCTGGTCTAAAGACTCTGGAAGAGGAGGTGATGGATGCAATGGGGATCCAGGAGACTCGGAGACACAAGAAAGTCTATTGGTATTGATCCTGGGGAGAGCAGCTTCTCCCCTCCTTGTCTTAGCCTTGAAGGCTGGGGTCACATCTTCTTCAGTCATCAGTAAAGAGCCATGAGTCCTCCTCTGTGTGCAGCTGCTGTCTTCTGGCACCCCTAACCCACAGTGCCTGTTCCAGGAGCTGAAGAGAGGAAGCGTCTGCCCCAGTATGTAGAAGTTAGCTAGCCTTAAGATGGCCTTCCCAAGGCACAGGGCGTACTGATTCTGGGATGGAGACTGGTGGCAGAGAGGTTCCTTCCAATGGAGCCCTGAGAAGATGCTACCTAGTCTGGAGGGCAGTGGGGGTTGGGGACGTGAGACCTAATTGTCATACCTCTGCAGGATCTAAGTAGGGAGGGTGTATGCCTGTCCTTTTCTATATTTAACAGAAGGGGAAGGGAAATAAAGATTCAATTTTTTTAAATTAAAAATAAATTTTTACGTAATATAACATAACACATGGAAGGAGATAAAGAGTACGAAGCTGAAGGTCTGTGGGGCACCAAGATTCCAGGGAGGATGCAGGATACTCATCCTCTGGGTCAGGAGTGAAGACTCTGCCACCCAGTGTGGCTCCTGGGCCCCAGGTGTGCCCTTCCACAGGCTTTGTCAGCTGTCTTCACTCTCCAGAACAGAGAAGGCCTGACCCAGGGGCCCCTTGGTGGCCACCAAAACCAGGTTTCTGGGAGAGAGTTCAGGGCTGAAGATGGGCAGGAGCTCAGAATGGAAGCCTGGGAGAAAGACAGGGCTACTAAGAAGGGGAGAAATGAAGCCCACTCTCAGCTGCACTTCTTGCCCAGGCTGCAGGCAGGCCCAGCCCCGTTCCCCATGGGGGAAGCTCCAGGAGACTAAGGACACCCAGTTTTCTACCAGGAACACCTCAGGCACTGACTTGAAAGGAGGCTTAATGCTGGTTCCCAAAGCCTGGGATGCTTGCTCAAAAGGCACTCCAGGGACACACACCAGAGGCTACTTCAGTAGAAATCTGTTCACAAGTCCCCCACCCCACTCCCATCACTGGTGATTTTGAAGCAGGTGGCCTGGCCTAAGAATCACCACAGTGATGAACTCTGGACTCTGAAGGAGGAACCCCAGGACTCCAGGCCCTCTAACCCTGGGCCCTGCTGTACGCTGCCCTCACCCTGCTCCTGAAGATACAGCAGCCGGTCCAGTAGAATCAGCGTCTCCACCAGTGGAGCCAGCAACAGGGCCAGGCTGAAGAAGGCCACCACACGGTTCTCCTGGGCCTGGTGGGCCCGAAGGGCAGCCAGATTCAGTGGCAGCTGGGGATCCAGCCCCACCCGCTGCAGCCCCCGCTGCACATATCTGTGGGGTCAGCCACATAAAGCACTAAGTTTGGTTTTTGGGGTCCCCCCAACTTAAACTATTGGCTCCTAATTTGGCTCCAACTTTGCTTGATTTTCTACCCTAATTGGCATTTTAAATGTTTCTCTGGCTGTTAGCTGTCTATCCAATAACAAATTGATCTAGAAATGTTATTTTCAGCCAGATCTGTTCAATTGTTTAGTTATATTTTTAGCATTTAAAAACCCTAAGTCTCCTAATAAAAGAGTGACAAGTCCCTTCTGAAGAAATTTTGAGAAGCTGCCTCAGTCAGAGAACTCAGAATCACCCCTCAGGAGCATTTAGGTTTTCTTAGGGACCGGCTAACAAGTGAGGGTGGGAGGGGACTCAGACCTCCAGTTGGCTCCCGACACCAACCCCCCAAACTCCCCAGCCTCACTCTTCGATCTTGAGTTCATGGACCCTGGGGATCCCCTGCACGCCTGGCCGACGGAGCTTGGGCTGGGCATGCCGGATGACCGTCTCTAGTGCTGCCCGGTAGCAGTGGGTTCGGAGGCCAGGGCCTGCTTTCTGTAGCCTCTGGGCATATTCCTCCAGGGCGTGGCAGGCCCCCTCCCGCAGCCTGTAGGACAATTCATAGCCAGGTAGTGTGGCCACCCACTGACTCAGTGGGTAGCCACCAGGGTCACTCAACTTCATGTAGCAGCAGCCCACTGAGGCCAGGGCCTCCACCTCAGGGCAGCAGGAGAAATGCCTCAGCAAGGCGACACTCAGGTCCCCACAGGCATGGAGGCCTGTCAGCAGCAAGCGGGCCCCACCCCGAGGTGAGTCCTCCAGTGGAAGCAGAAGCTCCTCACACCGGGTCCTGGGGTCTACCCACTGAACCACATGGTGTGGGGAGTGGTGAGACCCAATTTGCACCACCTGTGGAAGCAGGAAAGAACAAAGCACGTGGGAAGTTTGTTTGCTGTCCCCATGCCACCTCTGGTGGATGGAGGAATGTCCTCTATTCTTTCCCATGGGAGGTGGATGAGAAGCTGGGGCATGGGAGAGAACTAGACCTTGAATCAAGAGTCGGGATAAATTACGGACCTATTATTAACTGCAAGTTTTTTCATCTCTGAGTCCATTTCCTCATTTGTAACAAGTATAATACCTGACTGGCTACTTCACAGCTTGTTGGGAGATCGACATATCAGTGTGGAAAGCACCTTGTAACTAGAGAGTGCTTTTAAGATGTGAAGAGGCTTTGCCAAAGGGGAAACCTGGGAAAGGGTGAGCAGAAATAGGGACCACACCATCTCAGGCTGAGAAACTTAAAAGACAGCTCAGCCAGTCAGACCCTGCTCCTGCAGTTCTGGCTGCAGTAAGGGCTGGCCTACCCGTGGGTTCCTTTTCTTCTCCTTTTCCAGAGCCTGCAGGAGCTCCTGGTCCAGGTGCTGGGCTCTCTCCACCAGTCTCTGGTCCCCTTCAATGCTCTTCACCTTCAGCCCCAGCCCCAGGGACATGAAGCGAGAGAGATGGCCCTAGAACCGTGAGAGGGAGAGTAGAGATAGCTCCATTCAGTGCTCTTACCCACTGTCACCCTACCAGTGGCCTGAACAGACACACACCTGGATCACAGGCTCCCAGAAGACTTAAATTCTGTCCTGTTTACTTTTGCTGCTCCTTGGTGCCTGCCTCCCTAGGCCTGGGGCCCGACAACTTGCCTTTTAGCTATTCTAGCCCCACCACTCCCCTCACCTCCCCCTCCCCCTCCCCCCAAAAAAACAATGTTAGGAGTCTGTCTGGCTCACCTGGCCTGAGCCTACATCCACAACCTGGGTGCAGCCGGTGAGGTCACTCAGTTTTTTCACCAACTGAAAAAGGAGGGAACAAAGGTCTCTTGGCCACTGGTTCTTGATTCCTGGAGCCTAATGATGGAAGGGCTTAAGATGGCAGAGGAAGAAGGGCAGAGGGTGCCAGAGAAGAGATAAGACAGGGAAACTAATACTAGGGGTGCTGACCCCAGGCTCCTTGCTCCTCTCAGGTCAGTATTCAGTCTCCCCCTTAGAACAAGAGCCCCTCTGTGAAGCCATGAGCAGGTTATGAAGGTGTAAAAACAGGAATTTCAGTCATAGCTACCAACCAATCCAGCAAAAGGATTTTAAAAAATCCCCCAAACCAGCATAAGTTATGATTTAGTATGCCTGCCAAGGAAGGAAACTTCTAGGACCTCTGGTCCTACAGGTGATATAAGGTGCCTGCATCTTTGTAACCCACCAGCTTAACAAGTCCCCAGGCCCCCAGACACCACCTATACCACAAGCATCTCCTTACCTCTCCCAGCCTCCGGATTTCATGCTGCTTCTTGGGCCTGACGTGTTTTCGGAATGGAGCTGTAAGTCGGGAGCTCTGGCTGGGGTTCTCCAAAAACTCTGAGGGGGTCTGAAACCCAGGCGTCCGGTTAAAGGCCAGGGCATAGGCTGTGGACTTCAGGGCCAGCAGGGTAAGTGGCCACACCGACCTGTACCTGAGATAGCCCACCCAGACCCCCAGTGAATAGACCCATTGTGTCCTGAGGGCACCAATTTACAACCCAGGAAGCCCTTGTGAGACTCTGAGCAATGGTTGGCTGCAGGGTTCAGTGCCAAGTCCCCCAGCACAGGATCCCCCTTGCCCATACCTGACCACTTCCCCATCCCCAGGCATCCCTAGCAGCAGTGTGGCCAGCTGTGGCGGGTTCAGTCCATCCAGTGCTTCCTGCCATGAGCAAGGCAGTGTGCCCCACAGGCTGTCCGTAAAAAACTCCTGCAGAAGGGGAAACGTGATCAACAGGCTGCTACCAACGGGTGGCTCCGTGGTGAGTGTCCTCCTGCAAATTGAAATGTTGCAATCAACTGATATTTGTCTCCCTCTCTCTCTCCCTTCCCCCTCTCTAAAAATAGTCTTCAAAAAAACCCCACCAACTACTATCATTCCCATTTGTCCCCACCCCACACTCAACACTAGCTGCAACCAGTGTATCATCCTGCTCATCTGAGTCATCTCTTCTCTAAAGCCTGTTCCAGACTCCCCTCCTTCCTCGGAAACCAGAATGCATTCTGAACACATCTCTCCTTTTAGCTTTTGCCACTTATTTATGTGTTTGTTTTCTCCACTCAATTGAACCTAAGGGTAGGGATGGTGTCTTCTTTACATCAGCATCCTTAACACCACAGTGACTGACATACAGTATTAGTATGTTATCATTTAATAACCTACTGTTATATATGTCAGACACCTGATATGCCAGGATATATTTTTATTCGCTCATTTGTTGAACACAAATTCGGGAGAGCTTTGGTTATGCTCCAAGCTCTATTCTATGATACAGCAATGAACCAGGCAGACAAAATTCTTGCTCTTGCAGAGTTTACCTAAAGAAAAAAAATTCAGATAACATCAAATGCACAGAGACAAGAAAACACTAATGAAATATAAGAAGACTCTGAAAGAGGATTTTAGATAGAGTAATGAGGGAAGACTTGAGTTGACACTTGAGCTGAAACTTGAATGATTAACAGGAAACAGGCATGTAAAAAAACCAGGCAATAGCAAACACTTATAAAATAATATGCCAGGCACTGTTCTAAACATTTTATATTTATAGTAACACATTTAATTGCTGTGAGGTAGGTCTCATTTTTATCCCTCATTTTACAGATAAAAATGGCACCCTGGCCAGGTGGCTCAGTTGGCTGGAGCATCATCCTGTACACCAAAAGGCTGCAGGTTTAATTTCTGGTCAAGGCACATACCTAGGTTGCAGGTTTGATCCCCAGTAGGGGCACCTAGGGGAGGCAACTGATCAACATTTCTCCCTCACACTGATGTTTCTTTCTCTCTAAAATCAATAAAAACATATCCTCAGCTGAGAATTCAAAAAAGAAAAGAAACCCTGGCTGGTGTAGTTCAGTAGATTGAGCGCAGGCTGCAAACCAAAGGGTCACAAGTTTGATTCCCAGTCTAGGGCACATGCCTGGGTTGCAGGCCAGGTCCCTGGTGGGGGCCATGTGAAAGGCAACCACACATTGATGTTTCTCTCCTTCTCTTCCTCCCTCCCTTCCTCTCTCTCTAAAAAATTTTAAAAAATATATTTAAAAAAGAAAAGAAAACTGGCAATACAATTAAGTAACTTGCCCAAGTCAAAAAGCTAGTAAGTAGCAGAGCTGGGATTTGAAATCAACCGACTAGAATTCTTGCTTTTAATCATTCTATTCTATTGAGTCTCTATTGAGGAAAAACATTCCAGACAGATCACTAAGAGCAAAGGCCCAGATGCCTGCCATATCTGTGGAGTAGAAATCAGGGCAGTGGGGGTACAGTACAGTGAATGTGGAAATGAAATGTGGTGGGGTTCAAGCAGCAGCAGGGGACAGATCCCACAGGGCTTCGTAAGTATCAAAGGTAAAAAGGAGTTAGGATTTCATGAAAACTTCTAGCAAGGGACTGTTGTGGTCAGATTTATATTTTTAAAAGATCAGTCTGGCTGTTTGAGAGGAACTGGTTATGGGGGAGCTGAAGTCCACGAGAGAGATGATGGTGGCTTGGCCCAGGGTGGTAGCAATGAAATGGAGACAAATGGCTGTATTTGACATTTTCTTCTGGAGGTAGAGCCAAGAGAACTTGTTGAAGGATTGAACTGTAGATCAGTGAAGGAAAGCTGTTCCAAAGTTTATTGTCCGTTACGTTACAAAATCAGGAATTTAAGCGTGGATGAATGAACTTGTGTGTTCTTGGAACACCTCACATGTTCCTAGGAGAGTTCAACATATCTGCAGCATGGCTCAAATGTGCATGAGTTTTATTACTTTGGATTTAAAAAGGTTAGAAAAACCTAGATATTAGAAATATTAATATTTGTGTCATCTGTAAAAAAAAGGAATCATCCCAGTTTTAACCCCTTTTTGTAAAGACAGACTGAAAGTTACAGAAGAGATCAGAAGCTAACTCCAGATTCTCTCTCTGTCGTGGGCACTTAGCCACTCACACAACCAGAAGCACCCCGCCACACCCCCATGGCCTCACGATGATGTAGGCGTCCAGGATGGAACGGTAGAGCGACAGGACACGGGTGAGGTTCACAGCTAGCTGCCTCCTCTCCTCGTGAGAGAGGCCCCGAGCGGAAACGCCCGGCATCCGGGGTCCAGTTGGTGGCGCCGCGAGCGAGAACGCTGTGAGGGAAGCAGGCTCAACACCACGCAGGCCCAGAACCTAGAGTGGGCTCGGCTCTGCAGAAGAAACCAGTCTGCATTGGCCTCCAACGCCGTCTTTCCGGAGTTCCAGGTAGAGGCTGAAGACCTAAGACGTCCGCCTGACGTCACAGGCCACTACGTCCGTAGAGCAAAAGTGTAAGCACCCAAGGCGAGCAGTGGTGGGGTGTCGGGTAGTGACGCTACAGAGGCAGGCCTCGGCGTCCAAGTCCCGCCCCTTCCTGTGTACTTCCCGCCCATCCCCGGAAGTGGAGTTTGGGGTCCTGGCGCGCGGCAGTTCCCGTTTGTCGCGGCCTCCCCACACTTTCAAGTTGTACCTCAACGGAGCCAAAGGGACCAGGGGAGCGCATCCTGCCCACGCCCACGCCACCGCCTCTGCTCAGGCCTCTGTCCTGGCCTCGGTCCCAGAAGCAGAGTCCCTCGGCGCGCGCGCGGGCGGGAATCCCGGGCCCCAGAGGTGCGAGCAGACTTCCGTGCCCGGCTCCGGGCGTTTCCGGTCTTAGCGGGCTCTTCTGGGAGGTAGGTGATTGTGAGGAGGACGGGCTCCTTGAACGCCAAAGTGTGCTCGCCTAGGTAGCCTGCCCGTGGCCTCGACTTTCCCCTCTGATCTTGGGTGTTATCAAAGGCCCTTTCTTAGGAGAAGGACTTGGGTGAGAAGCATGTGGAGATTCCCTGGATCTGGGACCCGCGTTGGGGATGCCAGGGTAATCCAGATGCTGTGTATGCCGCAGTCCTCACTGGTTTCGAGCGTACTTAGACGTTCCCTTCTTGGGCAGATGTAGTAGAGCTCACTTATTCCCGGCTTTCCAGACTCAAAGAGACAGAATCGAGCTGCTTGGCCCTTCAGCCTTCTCAGTTTACAAATGAGACGGATCTAGAGAGGGGAAATGACCTTCCTAAGACCATATAGCTGGCTAATTGTGGGCTTGTCTCAGTGCTCCTAATGTCATTTCACATGACAGATTGATTCCCCCTCTATCAAGAAGGTTGCTCTGCCTGGCTGGCATAGCTCAGTGGATTGAGCGTGGGCTGGGAACTAAAGTGTCCCAGGTTCGATTCCCAGTCAGGGTACATTCCTGGGTTGCAGGCCATAACCCCCAGCAACCACACATTGATGTTTCTCTCTCTCTCTCTCTCTCTCTCTCTCTCTCTCTCTCTCTCTCTCCCCTTCCTTCCCTCCCTAAAAAAAAATGGATGAATAAAATCTTAAAAAAAAAAAAAAAAGAAGGTTGCTCTGATGTATTTTCCCCCTTAAGTCCTATGGAAATGAATCTTATTGTTCTCCCAGGCCTTTGGGCTGTGTTATCAAGTTCACTTTCTTCCCCAGGGTATATTACAAACCTCCAGATGTTGGTCTGTGGGGTTCAGCAGAGGATGAGTTCTCTATCTCTTCATTGGTAAGCCACTCTTCCCGACTGCTGTCCTGTCATCCACCATCCTCATGTCTACCTTACTTCTCAATCTGGATTTTGGTGAACCTCCCCACAAAAAGGCATTAGAGGGAAATGCCAAGCACCAAAAATTTGTCAAGAGGCGGCAGCTCTTGGAAAGGAGAGGCATTTTGAATAAGAAGAACCAGCCCCTTAGCAATGTGCCTAAATTGCACTCAGAACCTCCAAAGAAAGGGCAAACTTGTCAGATGGATGACACTTCGAAAATCCCTCCCCCTCCAAAAAAGAAGACTGCTGCCTCCAGCGGTGGGTCAGAGCAGTCCCTGGACAAGAAAGCTGTGCCTTGGCTGACCCCTGCCCCTTCACAGAAGGCTGGTTCTCTTGTGGCTAAAGTAGATTTGCTGGGGGAGTTCCAGAGTGCCCTTCCAAAGATTAAGAGCCACCCAACTCGCCACCAGAAGAAGGACCCCCAAAAGAACCCTCCTCAGAAGAATACCCCAGCTCATTCAGAAAATAAATGTTCCGGAGCATCCCAGACGATGCCAAGGAAGATGGTGGCAATTGACTGTGAGATGGTGGGCACAGGACCCAAGGGGCATGTCAGTTCCTTGGCTCGATGTAGCATCATCAACTACAATGGAGATGTGCTCTATGATGAGTACATCCTTCCCCCCTGCCACATTGTGGACTACCGCACCAGATGGAGTGGTATTCGCAAGCACCACATGGTGAATGCTACACCCTTCAAGATTGCTCGGGGTCAGGTGAGAGGTGTGGGGCACTATGGTAGCAGTGAGGTGGGTGGGGAGAGGTCCAGGCAGGTGTGGACCATGTTGGTGGTGGAAAAAGACAGAATGGTTACAGAAGGAGCTTGGGCGTTATTTATATAACTGGGACTGGTAGTCTGCAGTGAAGGGGATAAAAGACATGGCTGATGTGTCTTATTTCACCCATTGAGCTAACCTACTCATTGTAGCCCTCTGTTGCGTCCTGGGAGCACAACAAATGAACAGGAAAGGAGTGCGTGTTAGCAGAGGTGATAGAAAGGAGGGGGTGCTTACTGGCCTTGGGAGGCCTCCAGAGGGCGCCCTTGGTCCACCTCTTTGTAATTTCAGCTTCGCATTTCTTTGCCCTCTCTAGACAGTATTTCCTTATATACCAGAATAGTCAGTTGGAGGAGGTTTATCAAAGGTGAAACGGTTGGATTTTACAAAGAACTTGAAGAGTTGAAAAACCTGTGCATTAGTGGCACAGCTGGGCAAAGTCTTGGGAGAGGCAGAAGATGGGGTGGATCCGAGATAGCAAAATGACTTGGCTTAATAAGGGCTGTGTGTTGAAGTTAATGCAAGTAAAGGTGTTGTTGGACAGTAAGCTGCAAGTAGAGTCAGGAGCAACTAAATATCTAGTTGATTAGACTGCATCTGGTTTTCATCGCAAATCATTTCCCCAGGGTCCAAGTGGGATATGAAACCAAGGTATAGCCAGATGAGTCTGGCCCCTAGCAAGGGGTCTTATTGGGAGACCATGTACTCATTTTTCCAGGACTATTGCTCTTATTTAAAACCTATTTGGAACTCCATTTTGGGAATGGCCTT